AAAAAAAAAAAAAAAAAGCATTCAAGAGCCACTATTTACTCTTCCCTCTGAACTCCTGGCACCACAATCTAAAATCTGTAAGATGTCATAAGCAAATGTAGAGAAAATCCTCATTCAGAGTATTAAACCTACAGTAGTTTATGATGCAGTATACTACATGCTAGTAAAAATAATACACACCAGTTTCTAGTTAAACATATCAGATTCTAGTGTACTGCCATTTTCTCCTATAAAAATCACTAATCAAGAGATTTCCTTTTCTCTCTCTCTCTTTTTTTTTTTTTTTTTTTTTTTTTTTTGTCATTTTGAGACAAGGTCTCACTATGTAGCTCAGGCTCAGCTTGAGCTCACTTTGTAGCCCAGGTGGCCTCAAATTCAGTGTTCTCCTGCTTCAGCTTCATAAGGGCTGAAATTACAGGTGTGCACCCAGCCTGGCTTAGGATTTCTTAAGAAACAAACAAACGAGAGAGAGATGATGAGAGACAGAAAGACAGACAGACAGACAGACAGACAGACAGACAGAGACAGAGACAGAGACAGAGACAGAGACAGAGACAGAGACACAGAGACAGGGAAAAGATAAACGAACCACTGAGCAACTGAAAAGTTTGCCTGCCTGCCTGCCTGCCTGCCTGGCGTGGTTCATATTAAACCCAGGGCCCTGCCCATGTTAGGCAAGCGCTCTGCTACTGAGCTCCACACACACACACACACACACACACACACACACACACACACACACACACATAAATAAAATTAAAAAAAGAAGTTCCTGGAGGCTATGATCCATCAATATTAGTATGACAGAACAAGTCCCAAAAGGGCAGGTCTTAAAAGTCCCTGAAGCAGGGGACACGACACAAGATGAGGCCAACAGAGACGCTAGCTCCCGCTGCTGATCAATTCAGATTGGAACAGGAGGGCAAGGGCTGTCCAGAAACATGGCCAAGCCAAATTGGAATAACAGTCTCGCTGAGGGTTTAAGCATGAGAAGGGGTGCTTTTATAGAAAAGTTTTGGGATATGTTTGGAGAGGTGCTTGTGCCACTGAGCCAGATCCCCAGCCCAATGACTTTACTTTGAAAAATTGACACTGGGTCAGAGATTTAGCTCAGTGGTGTAGTGCCTGCCTGGCAAGCATGAGGTCCTGAGTTTGATTCCCAGTACCCCAAAAAAGGAAAAATTGACACATAATTTACACGCAGTGCAACATAATATATATAATTAAATATATATCTGTTTTTCTTTCTTTTAACTTTCTGTGGTGCTGGGATGGCGAACCCAGAGCTTTGTGGATAGCACATGTCTGAGCCCTGACACCTCAGCCCTCACTTTTTTATGACTTTGAACTACTTGGCTTTTAAAACTATGTTTAGGCGGGCATGGCGGTTCACACCTATAATCAGAGCTACCCAGGAAGCTGAGGCAGACGGATTGCAAGTCTGATGCCAGCCCAAGCAGTTCAGTGAGACCTTGCCTCTGAAAACAGAAAGGGCAGGGACGGAACCCGCTGGTAGAGCCTTTGCCTAATGAGGACCTGGTTCCGTCTCTAGTACCAAAAACAACACAGAAAACCACGCTGACATGACACTTTCGGTTAAAATACAGTGAAGCTTTGAAAAGCCATATGGCACTCATCTGCAATGTTCTTTGGGACTGAAGTCTGAGGTGCCAAAGGAGTCCTCTGGGAGGTCCCCACCAGTTCCTGTTGGAGGCACGGGCCAGAAGAAGGTGCCTTTGTTTCCAGGGGCCTCGCCAGCTTATCCTCAGAGCCCAGGGAAGTGCTCTTCCCGGCGTGTGGGCTGCAGGTTTTTAAAGAACCCTTTACCTTCATCCATTTTTGCATCAGAAATGAGCATCTGTCTCAAATGCTTCAGGAGGCCAGCCCAGGTAAACGTGCTATATGCCAGGGAATTCTCAGACATCTGAGGAATGTTTCGAACGCCCAGCATCTTGAACTCGGGATGGGGAACTAAATGCTCCATTAAGTCTCCTGTGAAGGAAAAAGAAAAAGGCCTGAATTAAAATGTCTTTATTCCACACTGCTGCCACTGGCCAGTATAGAATCATGACTTTATGGTTTTCTGGGCCAAATGTGTTGTCTCCAAAGCCAGAACTGCTTAAAATTTCAAAATAAAGTTTCGGAGATGATGTCTATCACAGACTACATCTTTCCTTTGTCTTGGCACCCATTTTATCTGGATTTGGGGCTGGCACAGTGTGCCCAGGGTTCCGGGGCCAGCATGGCATGTACTACCAGGGATGGACCCCGGGTCCTTGCACTTGCCAGGCAGGGGCTTAGACCGCTGAGCTAACTCTCCAGCTCCTTTTATTTTTATTTTTTAAATCATATTTTACTTATTTTTTAGTACCCACTTTAGCATAGGTGAGAAAACACCTTGTGGGGGTGGGGGTGGGGGTGGGGGGTGGAGCTCAGCAAGGGAACATTTGCCTAGCACCTGCAAGGCCTTGGGTTTGATCCCTAGCACTGGAGGGAAGGAGGAAAGAGAGAAAGAGGCAAAGCCAAGCAGTGTGGCACATGCCTGGGATCCTAGAGACTCTCCAAGCAGAGGGAGGAGGATTACAAGTCTGAGGGAAGCCTGGGACACTTAAGGAGACCCTATATGAAAATAAAAATTAAAAAAGGGCTGGAGATGTTTATTTATTTATATATTTGAGACAGGATCTCCCTATGCTGGAACTCACAGCAATGCTCCTACCTCAGCCTCCCTAACAGAATGCACCACCACTCCTGGCTAAAGGCTGGAGATAAAAGTTCAGAGCTCCCCGAGTTCAATCCCAAGCAAGTGCTAGAAACAAAACTAAAATCACTTCATCAAAAAGGAAAGGAGAACTAAGAAGCTGACTCACTGGAAATATGAATAAACATTTAATTAAATCTCAGGAAAACCAATAAAGTATCAGAGCTAATATGCTTTCCTTGTCAGTCTGTATAT